TAATAACGCGGGAGCTATACAAGTCTCCCTGAATTACACACTCCAGATATAACTGGTTATCCCGAACTATCACTGATTCTCGCACACGCGTCTGTAGCTCGTAACTTGCGAACTGAGAACTCGTTGATAACACACTCCGCGACTGTCACAGTACAACTGACTCGCAGCCGCTGTGCAGCTCACTTATATAGCTGCAGTGCTTGCTTGTTGTGTAATGAGTGCCACGTCATCCTGTTACATCACCGCTGTTGACTTGCATTGCATAGTTACCAGGTTGCGGGGGCTCGGCTCTCTTCGGCTCCGCTCGTGACGTCACCGCGCGTTGCGCGTTGCATAGCTACCAGGATGAGGGGTGATTACTCGCCTATTACGCGAGCGCTACGCTACCGCTACGTGCAGCTGGGGAGGTAGGGGTCAACATGTCACACTATATATACATATACGTATATATCTTCTGCCATAATTATACCATCAGGATACTGAAGACCAACTCATGAGTTCCCACGTCTCAGAATTTGATTCTTGGATCACTACATAGGTTCACGGGTCACAAAGGTCATTATGACCATAATTAGAGGTATTAGCCATAGTAATTAGGCTTTATATTGTAACGTGTCTAGAGTAGATACCTCCATGGAAACGCAATAATGGGCCGTTGCGTAGGAAGTGCAGAAGCAATGAACGCGTTTCCCCCGGAGATGAACAACAGAAGGCCGTTGTGTACGAACGGATGAGATGAAACACGTTACTGCCATAATCTATAGAGACCGTTCCCGAAGCAATGAATTGCCGAACATGCGGAATCGAACCTTGGCGAGAGGTGTCCTCGATTGAGTCCGCATGACCCCTATATAAGCAGAGCTTAGGACATGTACTAGATTATTGTTAGAGAACCGAGAGTCAAGCATCGAGGCAGAAGCCAATTGATACTTCAGCTGATAATGATTGTAAAGAGTGTAAGAGTGAATATTCAACAAAGATTCGCTGAATCCGAGACCCACGTGAATTTATTTGTCGTGTGACATACCCAATACGTGACAATATGTTACAATAAAGTCTAGGTAAAAATTGTTTGTATAACTTTATTTCTGGCACCTGTAAATATCTGGAGAGAGGACACTGCACTGGAGGTACTGGGGTTCCACAGGGATAATTGAGCCTCCATCTCCTAAGATTTCCAATCCTGTTAGTCCTGCACAACAGACCAAAGCACAATAAAAATCTAAGTCAAGTGAAAATTTCATATTGAAGATACCACACCATTTTAACAATCTACATGGAACTCCCATAATCTTAGACTGTGAGCAATTTTACTTCTATGGCCTCTTGTACTTGCTGATGATGTAACCCCTAGGTACAAGGGCAAACTGGAGGACTGTGAATAATCAGGTGTTCAGGCTTATTACACTCTGTTGTGTAGGAATTTCACTGACGGAACTTCTTTCATTATAACATGATAAATTTACAACTGTGTAATGTAATGTAATGTAATGTATGATATATTACTCCTTAACCTTCCTACCTGTAACTGATGACATTCAGGTGTGCATCCACATGTAAAATGTAGTGTGTTTACTAACAATACTTAACAGTATGTTATTAAGTGTGATTTTGTGTAGTTTCATAAATCCTGATTTTACAGTAACTTTTATTCACTTACTGCATCTAAATATTTTAACCCCAAATTTTAAAGCTGCAATTATATAGTACAATTTTTCCAACACCGACTTTTATTACAATTTTTACTCTTAGAGAAAAATATTAGGAATATAAAACTTTGACAATTGAGCCATTATGGAGTTAATAAATAGAAACATCCTCTAAAAATCACTAGCAATCCTAAAAGTTGCTTTACCAAGATTATACTCACGTTACAGGGAAAAACTACCTTATTTACAACCAACCACCACACTCAAACTCCTCGTAGTCACTTTCCACTGGTGGTGGTTTGTAAAGAAAGTCATTTTTCCATGCAACTTATACTTGGAAAAGAAAATTTTAGAACACAGTGTATATGTGATGACCTACGTAACACAATCAGTTATAGGTCAAAACACTATGTGGTAATGAAACATATGCAGGTATTAAAATATTTCTGTAATTGTTTTACAGAACAAATATCACTCATTTACATAGCAGTTATGGTTACTATTTTAGAGTGACCTTGGTCTAACAGTAAAGCACTGACCTTTTGTGACAAAAATTATACAACTACACCATTTCTAGCCACCATGCTGTTTTTTCTGCTAGTCACCACCAACCCTCACTCTTAAAAAATCAGATCCATGTTAATGTGATCCACACCTTAAGCAAACTGTAAATATGGATTACATATGCAAACATTCCATTAAACAACAATAATATGTTAGCTATAAAAGACCCATAATAAAAATGTTTGTTCTGATGTCTGTCATTGTGACCTATGAGTGCAGGGTGTCCCCAGTTGGCCAGGAGATTGATTTCAAGTTTCTGTCCTCCCAGCAGGATATCAGAATGGCTGTCAACTGCCGATGAGCTATCTGAATGTGATCCAGCACATGTAAATGGTCGTTCATCCTAAAAGATAGAAAGAGTATAAATTTAAAACAAATGCATTATAATGCTAACAGACTTAAATGAAACTGTAAATTGGAGAGAATTTTATTGTAAGGTAATTCCTCAACACTTACATGCTTAAGAAGATTGATGAACACTACAAGAAGACAGACACAAAACTAATAAAGCTCATACAAGTATGAGTACTATGAGGTACTAAATGCTGAAATTATGGATAAATAAATGGCACACTGAAAGATTAAAATGGTGGAATTCATTTTGTAGAATAACTGTGAATGCAAGTATACAGAGATGAAGTCTACTGAACTCCTATGATAAGATAATATCCACTCACAGAAAGTACAGCAGGACAACAAACCAATAGGGAGTTGTATCCAGACAAGATAACGAACACACATACGAGTAATATGCAAATATAAACCCTGCACAGACAATTATATTAAAGCTAAATAACACACATAACATCCACGCCATGGCACCAAATGCAGCACAACTGAATTTTAATGGTTACATTTTAATGAACTTTTAAACGACTTACAATTCATTCGACAAACAAATAATTTTAAAAATTAACTTTGGATATGAAAGTGTGATATAAAATAGGCTGGTCACGGTAGCCGAGCGGTCTAAGGCATGCACTGTCTTCACTCGCTCGGAAGCCAGGATCATGGGTTTGAATCCCACTCAGGGCACGGATGTTTGTGTGCGTTTTTCTGTGTTTGTCTACAGGCAGAGGCCTTGCGACGAGCTGATCACTCGCCCAAGGAGTCCTACTGAATGTGTAAGATCTAGTAAACCGAAATGAAACGGAGAGTTTCATGGAGGTAGGCCTAGGCCCAAATTGGGGCTGTAGCACCACAGAGAGAGAGAGAGATACAAAAGAGAGCATACACTGAAACAATTTTAGCAGGACTCACATATAACTGATGACGACTGTATATGGCCAAAGCATGTAAGATAAGATGTATATGAGATAGAAAACAAATTTTGCATTTAAGATTGTAATATTCGTGTATGAAACTGTAATATTAATGCAACAGGATGCTTAAGTACAACATTCTATGACAAGAGTTTAAGATAGGATTTAACAGACCCTATAAAAAATTAAAACTGATCCAAGAACCTTTTATGTTGAAACTGTACTGTGTACTTACACCGTTGTGCGCAGTAATTGGTCTTTCCACATGGTAATTTCCAAAATCTTGCCCAGTCTCACTAAGAAGACTGCAAAATGATTCATCATACTGTGATATTAATTCAAGTATTGTGTCATCTGTGGTGAACAGAATTGTCTGTAAGCAAGATAAAATATATACTAATAATATATACTAAAAGCACCATTACAGATGTAACAATGTATAATTATTGTATAATAAAAAATGATTATAAACTTGAAAACCTTGAAACTAAATTAATAGTTTTCTTTTAATTTTGTAATTACACATTATAAAGAAAATAATTTGTATAGTATTGTTTTAAATAAATTAAATTTGACAAATTGTTCAAGGAATGTGTTGTTCTCACTGTCCACTTTGAAAATGTGCTGAATGTTCATGGCATGGATAACAGGAGGAAAGCATTGACAATACTGTCAGTCCAGGCAACTGTCCAAGGACTTTCATCAAGTAAGAGAGCTTCTGGCAATTCCTTTTTAAATTTCTGGGCACCAAAGCAATACAAAAGAATCATAAAATTTCAGCGCATAATTCAGTTCATAACATTTCAAAACTTTTCACCATTATAATGCTCTTTATTCACATACTGTGACAATGTGGACTGAGATGTTTCACCCAAGATGGGCAAATAATGCTAATTCTTGCAAACATGAAAATGAAATTTTGGGTTTCATAGAACCAAGGGATCTACTGATTATCTAAGCCAACTGTCAGATTCTCAAGAAGTTCTCCAAACCATGGAGTTAACTTTCTATATTAATCAATTTCCTTCTGAATGGAGAAAGAGAAATGTAAAACATCATGTAAGTGTGGCTGTTTTCCCTAAAACAAGCAACCAATTGCTATGAAATTTGGTACTTAGATCACTTACCCTTCACACTTTGTATTTTCCTCTCATTAATACTAGTACAATGAAAACCTGTGAGAATGAAGTGACAGTAGCGATATTCAATGCATGTTAGCAAAATTCTCAATGCTGACTGTATCTTAATCTGTAAGTGACTTAAAGCATTAAAGGCAGTTTAAAACCATATTATGATACCAATATTTATTCATGATGTTCAAAATGATGCTGAGAGAAAATATATTTAGACTATAAGAGTTCTAATTACACTCGCCAATTCAAACTGGCATGTTACTTGGCATTTTATGAAATACGATGAAAAATATTTAAAGCAAAGAATTGTAGAAATCTGTGTAACAAAAATTTTGTTCCAAAATATTCCTTCTTACAATAAATTGCTTTTGAGAAATATGACAAAATCCAACTTCAATATAAATATCTATATAAGAAAGAAATCTTCTAGTTTCAAAGCTGTACTTCATTATTAGAAGTGTGACATCATACATTTTCAAATGCAGGAAATTAATATTTTACGTCATCACAGAGCCCTTGACTTCTGAGACAGTACACACAAGCCCAACCTGTAATACAGATAACTTTGTGTAATATTTTCCTTTCACTACTCACACCATTTCATATTGTGACGAGTTATCTTACGTCCATCACTGCGACAACCGCTACAATCGGAACGGACACTTCCACGACAACGAATACATGGAAATTGTGGAGTTCCCGCAGTGACAAATCGTAGCAACGAATTGTCATTGAGTAACAACAGATGAGACAAAACACGTTACCAGTGTAATCTATAAGGAGCGTTCCCGAAGCAACGGATTGCCAAGCACGTGAGATCGAACTTTGGTGAGGGATGTCCTCTACTGAGTCCGCATAACCCCTACATAAGCAGAGCTTACCACACGTATTAGAGAATTGAGTACTGAGACAGAAGCCAAGTGATACTACAACTGATAATAATTGTAAAGAGTGTAAGAGTGAGTATCCAATAAAGATTCGCTAAATCCGAGACCCACGTGAAGTTATTTGTCGTGTGACATACCCAACACATGACAATATCATTCTCTGCTACTGATAACTTGGTGTTTCATCTTTCAGATATATCATAAATGATTTTGGCAAGGGATTACTGATAAGAGTGATGGATCATCATAGTTCAAGGAGAGTGAAGTAGAAAGAAAACATGAGTATTATGTTTTACACACATCTCCAAAAGCTTCTGTTCCACCCAAAATCCCACCACAAGCACGTGCAATTTCACCATGGAATATTGTTACTCCATCCAGTGTGATGTCAACATCTCTTACACCTCGGTAAGAGTGGATTCTTGACTTGTTGTAATTCTGAAATGACAAAATTAAGTTAACATTTCAATTTAGTTCAACCGTAAGCTTTATAAATGATATAAAATATGACAACATGTAAAGTTTCTCGATCCTTACTAACTCTTCTGATCAGTTTTCTGTGTAGATACATTTCAGCTTAGTGGTTAAACCTCATCAATCCTGTAAATCCTATTTGTCAAAAATGTTGACCTTATGCTGATATGTGGTGCCCAGATTGCAGGGGTTCACATAAACATCCATATTCCACACAATCCATTATAACCGATTAAGATAGTCTATATAAGTACAGATTAACTTCCAACAGTATACTGGAAACCAGACTACCTCCAGTTGCAAACATTTAAACAATATATGATTTCTGAAGAAACGGAATATAATACATTATTGCTTGGAGATATTTATGTCCATAAAATATGTAATTATATGTATGGAAGTAAAAAATTATCTGCACTCTTGCTTTTACAATTTATATATACAAAAGTAGGGGTTGAACAAGTACGTCGTTTTTGTATATAGTCTCCTTCCTTTTCGATGCACTTGGTCCAGCAGTCCACAAGCTTGCGTATTTCCTCCAAGAAGGTTTTCGGTTGGTCGCGCAACCATTTATGCACCGCTTCCCGCACTTCTTTGTCCGTAGAAAATTGACAGCCTCATAAAGCATCTTTGAGAGGTCCAAAGAGATGATAGTCCTTTGTCCGTAGAAAATCGACAGCCTCATAAAGCATCTTTGAGAAGTCCAAAGAGATGATAGTAAGAAGTGGCAAGATCTGGGTTGTAGGCAGGGTGTTCCAGCACCTCAAACCCAAATGGTTAATGGTTTCAACGGTCTGGCCGGCCATTTGTGGGCATGCACTGTCATGCAACAACAATACTTTCTTCGATAAAAGGCCTTGGCGTTTGGAGGAAATTTCTGGCTTCAGACTGTTGGCCAGCAAATCACTGCATCTTGCACTGTTGATTGTACACCCTTTTTCCAGGTAGTCTTCCAGTACAAGCCCTTTTGAGTAGCAAAAAACGGTTAGCATCACCTTTCCGGCAGAAGATTGGGTCTGGAATTTCTTGTCCGGCCACTTTTAAACTTCTCGATCCACTCATACACACTTCTATGTGGTAGAGCACTGTCCACGTATCGTGTTGAAAGCCTGCGAAGAATTTGAGCCTCTGACACACCTTCCAACCAGAAAAATCGGAACACTATTCTTTGTTCCTCCGTGCACACTGCTAGTAGAGCAGCCATGTTTACACTGTAACAACATCAAAGAAAATGACGCGATCATGGTCAAACTCGATCACTTGACCACAGTAGAACCAACTCTAAGCATGCATGCGCAGAAGGCAGTGTGACAAACCTACAGATGTGTTATGGTGAAAGTGTGGATAATTTCTGACTTTTCTTCGTACTTCAAAAGCTCTCTTAAGACTTTCCTACTGTAAATACATTTAATTATTAAATACAGTTAATCAACAGATGGACTATATGCAATGAAGCTGACTGTACAAAGCATGAAATTCCAAAAACTTGTTATTAATTGAACTGAAATATTAAAGAAGTAATTTTCAATAACTGTCAAACATTTAACTTCATATGTGACACAGGAAGGAAGCCTTGTGATATTATTAACATGACACCAAGTTTTCATTACCTTCACAAATATCTATTAAATATTTATACAAAAATGATAAATTATATTATTGCACTATAATGGAGGATTATATTACTGATACAAAGTTCTGTACTCATGTTTTAAAAACTTCTGATAAAAGTTGACTATTCAACAGAGCCACTGGACATAAGCCCTCAAATTTTGGAGATATGATAATCTACGGACATGATGCAGGTGATAAAAGACATAATAAAGAATTTTAAGTGATGAAGAAACTGATATTAAAAATCTTTGTGACAGCAGATCATGGCTAATATTCAAATAATTCTATATATAAGTATGAATTCTACTCACCCAGATCCTAATCATGGCAATTTGAACCTTCTGTTTGAAAACAAGATGTATAAAATGATTGGCACCTTTTGTAAAAGGTGCAAGCCAGAGGTGCATATCATCATGTGTCCTGTTCACTCCATCCAGCAAATTGCTTACCACTCGGGGGTCTTTAGTGTATTCTGGTAAAACATTGATATCTTCAGGTTCAGCCCAGATCTAGAATAATTCATGAAATTTTGTCATGGATGCAAAGAACTACAACAGAAAAAGACTTTCATGGGTCTAGGTAAAAGAATCTGAATGCTTCCAAGAAACATGAAAACTTCTGCAAAGAACTCTGACACTTGTTTCCTTCAGATGCTTCAGTATAGAGCGAAACTTTGATTTTATCTTTTGAAGGGGCCACCTAATATAAATGTAAAATCAGGGAGGTGTAAAATGAGAGAAATGAAAATCAAGCAATGTAAATAAATTGTGGGTTACTTTATACCACAACTTTGGAAAGCCATTTAAAATACACATGTTTAAATATAATAAAAATAAGTAACCTGAATACCATGACATTTCTTTAATCAGTTATATGTTTCTTTTCCTCTCAAGCTCTCAGTTTGCACTGAACTCTCATATGAGGTACAAAACTTACATATGCAAAGATATAACTACTTTATTAGATGTTACTTTGAAATATACAAAATCAGTTTAAATGAATATTTAAACCATTTTCAGATATCACATGTCTCTGCTAGAATGATCAACTTTATGAATTTCATAAATCTGCATCATATGTGCAGTGTGTCAGACATAATCTTTGTTTCACACCACCATCATGTCTGCAACTGTTAACACAAAACAAACATACTGTTTGTTTTGTGTTAAACATATTATTCAAAATCTGAAAACCTGCAGGTATGCTCCTGGCTAATTGCCATACAGAGTTTCATGTGTCCAGCTCGAGAGGTCCCTTACTTTCCACCATCATCAAACTAGGCCTAGGCCTACCTCCATGAACTTACCATCATCAAACTAACCCCTAATAAATACAGGTTTTGCTCATGGCTACCATATTATTCTAAATAAAATAAATAAAAAGCCTGTAACAGCTGTTGCAACAAATATAAATGAGTTACAGCACAATGAAAAAATGTATCATGCTGACCAATCAGCCAAGATGCCCCTTACTCAGTCTTTACATGGCATCAAAAAACAAAGATGTTCAATCTTTTTACAATGAGTTACCAGAGAAGACCTAAAATATAATAAACAATTTAGACTCTAATTGGTTCTTCAATAAAGCTCATTTTCAGATGGTTGTGTAAAAAGAGAATGCTTAATTTTCACTTTTCAGAATCCAGGCAATATTTTAACAATACCATGCCTATCCTATGATTTGTAGCATGATGTGCTCTTTCCTGTACTGGTATATGGACCCAAGTGTTTACTGTATTCTCAACAACTTTTGAAGTTTACCTCGATGTTCTTCAAAATGACTTTCTCTTCTTATGGGTTAGAGAATTGACAGTGACAAAAAAACAGTTCCAGCAAGACAGTGCAAGGCCTAAAACAGTGAACCTTGTGTTACATAATTTGAATAAATGTGCTCTGACACGGGTAACCGAATGTTTATAATGGAAGTGTTGCTCAGCCATTTTTATTCTTTGATTTACTGTAACCCCATGATTATTTTCTATGGTGATGTCTCAAAAACAGTGCATTCTATGCTAATCCTTAGATCTGGCAACTGAAGGAGTTATTCAAAAATAGATCTGTTCAATCTCTGAAGAAATTTTGAAAATCATATTCAGGTATTTCTAACTTCTGACCTGACACATTATTTCACAAAAAAGAGGACACAATGCATGGAATACATTCATTTTAAGTTGTGAATCTCTCATATTTGGGATTTCAGATTCTCATAGTGGGGATCATGTTTCCTGGATATGACACCATGTAGGACAGCAGAAGTTTACTTAAGTTTCAGAGGAACATACTTCCTTCATATTCAGGGTCAAAGAGTATGCCAAGGAAACAGCAAAGACAGTAGTCACTCTGTTTGCTGCACTTGAATTTAGTTTACTATTTGAGAACCTGAATATGAAGATAGTATATTCCTCTAAAATGCTGGTACACTTTTAGCAGACTACACGATGTCACATGATGGAGCTTTTCTCATATTTGCATAATATTTTAATATAAAACTAATTAGATTCATATTCACAGCATAAATTTTATGTAAAACTGATGTGTCATTAATAAAACATGAGCCTATAAACCTTTAAACATTTCTACATCCATGCTACATCATTATGTCATTTCCAAGCTTTGAGTAATGTATGTGTAACATGACTGAAATTACCTTGCCCACAGAGACAGGCTCTCCTGTACTGCTGAACACTTCAATACCATTCAGACCGAGATAATGTCTGTCACCCCACGTTGAGTGGATATTTAGCTCCATTTTGGAACCTGAAGGGAGCTCAGGAATGATGAAGTCAGAGTCAAAGCTATTTATGGAAGAAGAACTCGTGCTGCCATCTGTGTCTGCTACTGGAGACCTGCTCCCTGAACCAGCCAATGAGATCAGCTCATCTACGGAACACAAAACATATCTGAACAGTGAACTCACTTTCAGAAGATAGTTTAAACATAAGCCGCTATTAGAAACCTATTATTTGAAGAAGTGACTGCCTCTGTGGTCTAGTGGTCGGAGTTCATGGCTATAGGTCCAGATGTCCTGGGTTCGATTCTCGGTGATACCAGATTTTCTGAGAAGTAGTGGGTCTGGAAAGGGGTCCACTCAGCCTCGTGAGGATAATTGAGGAGCTACTTGAACGGAAGAGTAGTGGCTCTGGTCTAGAAAACCGAGATTAATGGCCATGGGAATCCATTGTGCTGACCACACAACACCCTCTATCCGCTAAAGTTTGCACTAACTTCGCCGACAAGCAGCAGTTGCTCTGTCAATACAGTTCGCTTGCAGACTAAAGCCACGGAGTTTGATTTTAATTGAAGAAGTCCTTCACTATATTTGTGATATTCTGGGTACTAAGGCTTGTACTTCACATTATGTATATCTGATGAGAAAAGGAAAACAAAAAGCTTCTAGGATACAGGGCAAAACCTAGACTAACTTCTGTTATTATTAGGGCATGGGGGGAAAACCAAACTATCTTCTGCTGTTGTTAGGATACAGGGGAAAACCCATATTATCTCCTGCCATTGTTGTATAAGGAAGAAGAATGACAACAGAAAATAGTATACATATTAATACAGTGCGTACAATCAAGTGCGCGCCGCGGCTGCAATTTGCCGTGAGTCATACCACCGCAGAACGGATGCAACTCCTCCCCGCGACTGCAGTGCTCCTACGCCGATGGTTGCATAATCGGAACCCGAGGTTGCATTAAACAGTGAGTCTTTGTCTTGTTGTGGAAGTGGAGTGGAATGTTTACAGCTGTCGACAGACGGTGGAAATGAAGTTCACTATTAAACAGCGTGTGTTTATTGTCGAAACTATTGCAAGGAAAAACATTTACAGAAAATTCGCACGTAGGTTTCGTCAGAAATATCCTGACTCGCCAGTTCCCACAAAGTCGTGTGTAAACAGGCTTCTGAAAAAGTGGCGGGCCACAGGTTCAGTGAGTGACAAGAAGAAGCAATCGAAGAGAACTGTGCTGACTGAAGAAAAGGTTAAGGATATTCAGGCAAGATTACAGATCAGTCCTCGAAAATCGTTAAGACGCTTAGCACAGGAAACTGGTGTTTCGCTAGGATCTGCTCGCACAGCCACAAAGTTAATCAAATTTCGCCCGTATAAAGTAACAGTTGTGCATGAGCTGAAAGAACCAGATCATGCAGCAAGAATTCGTTTTTGCAACTGGCTGCTGCAAAATGTACACGATGGAATAGTGGATCCTCAGCTTCTATTCATGACTGATGAAGCGTGGTTCCACGTTGGTGGCCACGTCAATGCACAAAACGTAAGAATATGGAGCAATGAAAATCCTCACGCTATACAGCAAGTGCCATTACATAGTGAAAAGGTGGGTGTGTGGTGTGCTGTAAGCCCGCGGCGAATCATTGGCCCCATATTTTTCCACGATACCGTGAACTCTGATCGGTACATTAATGACATACTGAATCCCTTCTTCGATCAGTTGAATGCCGAAGAAAGACAATACGGGTATTTTCAGCAGGACAACGCTACAGCACATACGGCTAATGCATCCATGGTCGCAATACAGGAAGTGTTTGAAGACAGAATTGTCAGTAGAGGACTGTGGCCTCCCAGATCCCCAGATCTCAGTATTTCTGATTATTATCTTTGGGGCAACCTGAAGCAAAAAGTCTACAAAAATAATCCCCGCAGCATTGATAGTCTTCAAAATGAAATTACACGCGTAATTCATTCAATTACCGTCGACGAACTGCAGAGAGTGTCGCGTAATTTATTTGTGAGATGCGCGGCATGTTTGCAAGCAGAAGGAGGTCACTTTCAGCACCTGTTATAAACCACGGTAAGTTATCTTTTTACTGTATTCTTATAAATGTGTGCATGTAGAGCAACTGATGGATGGAGACTCAGCGACACCACTACACTCACGCTATCGGGGAACGGCACTGCAGTCGCGGGGAGGAGTTGCATCCGTTCTGCGGTGGTATGACTCATGGCAAATTGCAGCCGCGGCACGCACTTGATTGTACGCACTGTACTATGGCATATGCATATATATTACTATATCTAAAAGCTATTCATAAACAAATTTCAAAACATTTGTCTTTAAAGAGAAATTTTAATAGAAGGCATTCTGATCCATTACACTATTTTACCAATTAAGTGAACACCATCTCCATCAAGTGCGAACAATCTGGTTTAATTATTCCCTGCATACATTAAGAGACACACCAATTTGGACATATGAGGGGAAATAATGCAAAAAAAATAGATCACACCAGGAAAGGCCAAATAATCAATACAAAGGGAAACTTTTACATTTATAACACAACACAACAAATTAATAGAGGAACAAATTAAATACAAAGATAATCATAGAAATTACTTATTTGTTACAGCCCATGCTCATGTAAAACACTGTGCACATGCATACACATCTCTATCAACATACCAAAACCCATTACATCAGTCCAACACAACACATCCTACTAGCCACAATCAGTCATTACACACACTACATAAAAGTAGGTCAACTTCATAATGAATCATACATAACAACTCAGTTAGGAATAAGTATTGATCTAAAATGAACCCAGACTATATCTACAGACCAAGGATATTCTATCAACATTTGGAGGATTAACATGTGAAGAATGCACACATGGCTTCTAAGAAGAATTTAAAAGTACATGTAAATTAGTTTTAAAAGACTTTCACTACATTTTTGACATATTAATAGCTGTATGCTTTAACACTGATGTACTGAATAACATTTGTTTTTAGTGTAATTGTAACTGTAATTAATTACCCCACAGGGGTAGAATTAGTGAGCAATTGACCTTTATAACTGTAAAGCACTTCCTGATGTGTTGAGCATATTCTGATAATGTTCTCTTAAGGACTGAAATAGGCAAAGGATTCTATCTAATTAAATAAAACTGGAGACTCACATAATTTACAGAGATATTAGTGTTAAATAAAATGATATACTTTGAAAAGGTAACAGTACCTAACACAAACACCAAAATGTATTAATATGTAAACACAAATATCAAAACGTATTAATACGTAAAGATCAATAAAAATAAAATGTACATAATACTGAATTAATAAAATATGGTCATATCAGAAAACATTTAGAATAATGTCAGATATTTAAATTTGAATAATAAATAATAAATAAATAAGAATAAATAATTCTGTGAAAAGGAAACAATCCACTGGTGGATTAGGGCAGTTATTCTACGTTAAGAAACGGGACATGAATTCACCTTCTGTTTTTTCAGTCAGTCGTCCCTTATGTCTCTTATTAAAGAAACTGAGAGAACTCCATGACTCTTCTAATGTAGGCTCCTTTCCTTCCCTGGAGTTCATACTAGCAGGCCTTGAATTCCTAGATAAAAATTGCTGGCCTGGAGTGTCAAGATCAAGAAATGACTTTTGTTGATTTATAATATTAGATGGCATAACGATGTCCTTCCAGTCCTCCCCTCCCAATGATGATAACCGCTGTGAAGACTTCCTTGGGCTATTATCTGCTGACCTTGTTCCTAGCGATGATCCTGCTCGTCTCCCATGCCTTGCAGAGCTGTTACGTGGCAACATTAGCAGTTCCTCATCACTGAAATAAAGTATATACACCATGTGATCTGATCATGTATTACTATTATTATTATTGGAGGGGGTGGGTTTCCCCATGCACTGCGACTAGTTGTTAATCTATTGTGCATCCCCCTTTAATATTTTACCAGTCGCCATGCCCTTCCAGTACTGGTGCTCGCTATCAGCCCCATTCTGCCAGCGAGGTCGGCGCTCTCTGGCAGTGGTCCCCGATACTTCCCCATCTACCGGAGGAATTGGAAACTACTTGGGCGGGAAACTTTGCCTAATTTTGCTCAGAGGTCTCCTAGAGACATGATGATCTTTTTCATGCTGTATATCTACGACACGGGACACACGGCTTAAAGTCCCTTCCAGAGAACTTGTTCCCTGAATTTTTCCGCCCTTAAAAATTCCACGACCTCCGCCGGGTTTGAACCCACGTACCTTGAGTCATGAGGTGGGAACGCTATCTGATCATGTAACTTCATAATTAAATTTCAGCTTTCCTGACAGCAAATTAATATAAATAGGACTGTAAATGACTGTTTCAAACATTTTACAACATGTAGGATTTGAGGTTCTCACAGCAGTGGTTATGAAGAGTTCTATCTTCTGGGATAAAATGCCATGTAGTCTGTTGAAAGTGAACCAAAGTTTTGGGGGAACATGTCGCCACCATCTTCAGGGTCGAAGAACAAGCTAAGCAAGATACCAACATGCAAGCAAGTGCCTAACAGAGCTCTTCTTGCCACCTGCTTTCCTGCTGGTTTCTTGTTCAGCTTTGCTTAGTGGGAGCTAGAGCCCTACTGGGTCCAATCTGCACAGCAGCCACTGATTGGCCTACTGTAGCCTGCCCTGGGTGATTATGATGATGGAGAATTTGGTGGAATGAAGACTGGCAGGGGAAATCGAAGTACTAGGAGAAAACCTACCCCAGCGCCACTTTGTCCACCATAAATCCTGCTTGACCAGACCTGGGATGGAACCCGGGCTGCCACAGTGGAAAGCAAGTGACTAACTGCTTGAGCTATGGCGTGGCCAATTCTTACTCAGCTTACTCTTTGATCCTGAAGATGGAAGCAACATGTTTCTCCAAAAGGTCAGTTGATTTTCAATAGACTACATGGCATTATATTCTCAAAGAGAGAACTGTTCATTTTACAACATAATGATAACTATGTGTACCATCTGTTTTAACATTAAGGAACTCACTATCCCCCTATCAGAATGTACTTACACATTTCATTTGGTTCTTAAAATAGGTAGCAGTAGTTTCTCTAAACATTATTAAATAACTGAACACAGATGCAATATTTTATTTGAGGTAGAAACAAATTTTCTGAACATTCGTGGTTCAACTGGGACAACAAAGACATGTTTCATCCTGCTTCCTTTTCAGCAAACTTCACAGCTGCTATATTTTCACTTACTTACAGCCATACTGACTTCAACATTACGACTCAGAACACCACAATTAACAGTATTTTAATTACAGAATATTTCTCATGAGACTCTCAGGTCTGCAGTCATTCATCCAGTCCCCATGTAAAAATAATTGCCTATTCCTGGCTTACATTCTCTCATCTAATAACAAACAAAACAAACTCCGTGGTTTTAGTTAGCAAGTGAACTATACCGACCGAGCGACCGCCGCTTGTTGGCGAAGTTAGTGCAAACGTTAGCAGATAGAGGGTGTCGTGTGGCCAGCACAATGAATCCCCATGGCCGTTAATTTCGTTTTTCTAGACCGGAGCCGCTATTTCCTTGAAATAGCTCCTAAATTATCCTGATGAGGCTGAGTGGACCCTGTTCCACACCCATAACTTCTCAGAAAATCTGGTAGCAACGGGAATCAAACCCAGACCTCTGGTTCTGGAGGCAGAAACCCTGACCACTAGACCACAGAGGTGGTCATTTCTCATCTAACTGGAAACAGACAGTACGAGAACTGAATCAGTTTGTCATGGCGGACTATGGCGTATGTACATCATTTCAGACCTCAGCAGGTGGTCCTGCTCTAGATGTAAATTGTCCAGCATTGAGGTAACTCCATCGTTTACAGGAGACTGATCCATGTTCTCGAGGGGTGAGCCATGAGACAATCTCCAAGATCTAGGCCGATTTCTTCGTACATTGCTGTAACAAAATTCAAAGTAAACACATACAGATACCATAAATGTACTGAATATGACAACTTTACGAATACTAACTTAGTTATGTAACATTTTATCAATAGTAACTGTTTCTATGAGGGAAAATTTCCAAAGTTCTGTAACTAGAGAATAAATTAAGATGAAATCAGACTACCAAAGAATACAACATACATGCCAGAAATTAAAATATAAGCTAGCTAATTAAAATGATTGTAGCAGAAACTAAAGGTTCAATCAGATCATTATCAAGGTCACAATTGCACATGATCTCACCAAATTCATCACCTCCTATCCTTATACAGTAATTTCCTAAAAGTAAGTGCCATTTTAATCATATTCAAATTTAAAACAATAGGAACTTGAAGAGGTTACAAGGTATCAAACATCAATATAGTTAGCATTTGCTTTCACAATACCTATACATATATGTTCCCAAAAATTCTAATATACACTACATCAACAAACATCAGACCATATTTTCCCATAAACACAATGTTGTGACTAATGGTTATATACCCAGCTGTGGCTTTGAACCTCAGTATTTCACAATAAAAACTAAGTTAGAAATATAAAATTATCAGGGTTTAATAAATAAACACCCACAAAAACACTTCAGAATACCAAAATCTGCTTGTCTTATCACACTGGAAACCAGACCAACACTGAGTGTTGAATTGTTGGGCTGTGTTCACATGTTCAGACTAATGGCTTCTGATATTGACATGTAACCATAACTAGGACTATTATTTTAGAAGCCAGGGTAGCATAGTCAGTATAGCAACTAGCTATGGGCTGGACAACCAAGAGGTCAGAGTTTGAGTCCCAGGAAGGCCAAGAATTTTCTTTTCTTCACATCGTCCAGACCGGCTCTGGGGTCCACCCATCCTCCTATCCAATGCGTACTGGGAGCAATGCAGATTCCTCAATGTGTGCTGCTCCATTCAGTAACATGTGTTCAACGCAGGCTGCTAAGAGTTCTCGGAAATTGTGGTTGCCAGTTTCCTTGGTGTCCCCTCGCCTTTAATTTTTATTGACAATTTCATCTCATCTCCTGTTATTGTATTTTGTTGTCAACAAAATATATTCTTTGCTCAGAATTTCTTATGGCTTCTACCTAATAAACCCTGTTAGTGCTTAAGACCATCTCTCTTCAACAGGACCCTGTGTACCTGATGATGGAAGCAGAACCAGTTTCTGAAATGTTATGGTTTGAGAAAACATCTCAAAGTAAGGAACAAAAAATAATAGCCACAGTTCTGTTCAAATGAGTCTATTATTATTATTATTATTATTATTATTATTATTATTGGAGGGGGTGGGTTTCCCCATGCACCGCGACTAATAGTCTATTGCACGTCCCCCTTTGATATTCTACCAGTTGCCATACCCTGCTGGTACTGGTGCTTGCTATCAGCTCCGTTCAGCCAGCAAAGCTGGCAGTGGTTCCCAATACTTCCACATCTACTGGAGGCATTGGACACTACTTGGGTGGGAAACTTTGCCTAATTTTGCTCAGAGGTCTCCTAGGGACAGGAGGATATTTTATGTGCCATAAATCTATGACACAGGACCCATGGCTTAAAGTCCCTCCCGGAGGACTTGTTCCCTGAATTTTTCCGCCCTTAAAAATTCCACGACCTCCACCAGGTTTGAACCCGCGTACCTCAAGTCATGAGGTGGGAACGTTACCCCTAGACTATGGAGGCCGCTTAAATGTGTCTAGCAGTATCTGTCATATCCAGGGGTTATCCATCATGCGATTTTCAATATTTTACATCAGTCCACTGAAGGTACTGCAATAAATACAAATCATTGAAAGTTGGACACTACTTGAGAAGTATTATCTCCTGATATGTGACTCTCTGTGTAGTCTTGCAGAAGTTTACTGATCCTTTGGAAGAACATATTGCCTCCATCTTCAGGTTGAAAAGTTTATTTTGCTTGCAGCTTCCTCACTTAGCTTACTATTTCAGTGTAAAGATGGAGGCAGTATATTCCCCAGCAACACCATTAAATATCTACCAGGCTATATGGCTTCACAGATTCTTATGTCACCACCATGGCTACCACTGGAGTCTGCAACACACACTTTGTTTCAGGGTTTGCTCCTGTACTGTCAGATTCAACTTTTATCAGCAATGGAGTAGATTTCAAAAAATTTTTTTGCAACATTGTCAAAAATTGAAAAATCGAGTTCAGATGTACAAATTATGCTGAAAATTACAATATTAAAATTTAAAAGGGACAATATAGAAGAGATAAAATTTTGGAATATTTGGTCAAATGAACTATAACATCACCTACAATTATACTTATAATACTTTTCAGTTTTCTTCTAGAGTACATCTGCTTCTTGACTGTGTACACAGCAGCCACTATTTTCCACACCACAGAACCAACAAGGTCACAGCATTTGGAACAATCTGTATTTAAGCCCCCATAACATGTCACAAAATATGTATATTAAACTTAACACATGCCATTCTTCCTTAAAATGCGTTATTATATTGTGAATATATGTGGTATTTATACTACAATGCCTAAACTTAGGTACTGACTTATAAAACTCTAACAAATGACATTGCTGGCAGAATCACGTCTCAATTCTAAATCATAATTCAGTCAATAACTGTCTATCTATCTATGGCTCTATAGCCATTCTGTTGAACCTTAGCAGTGTTTCTGTTTCTTAATCCTATACACAGTCGGTAGGACTACTTGGACGGGGGACCAGCCCGTCGTAAGGCCATTACCTATGCACAGGGCAACATGAACATATGATAAATGCACAAAGACATCCATGCCCTGAGTGGGATTTGAACCCATGATCACAGAGTTCAAGCAAGCAAAGACAGTTCTGCCTTAGACTGAGCGGCCATTGTGATCGGCTGTCAACTGCAGCTGAGCTAATTCTAATCACGCCACTTTTAACATTTTTTATACAACTTCAATCGAGACCAAATGAAGAAGAGCTTCTTGACACATGTATAAATTAACACCTTAAATGAAACGGCCAATAAACTGGCAATAATTTTGTACGCCTCTTGCCTCATTACAACCGGTTTCTGTTCACGTATGTACACTCTGTGACAACGTATTTATAAACTCGGTTACAAGACTAAAGTCAATAAAACTTACTCAGTCATGTCTTCAAGCCATTTTGGCACTTTTCCACGAGAGGGTGATTCTACATGTCCACTAGTCCTTCCACTTTTATGGGCTGCATCTACTGCTTCTGTATAATTGCTCATTCTTTCAAATCAGTATAAGAACATGAAAATATCAGTAAATGTTCTCTGTTTTATAAACTGTCACGATATTCCAAGCATCTTCTAGCGTAAACACATCAGCTGTCACATCACTATACATTTTCCGACCATGCGCAGACACTTATTGTTTGTTTACTTGTTACCATGGAAACTGATGAAACTGACGGACGTTGCCCCAACCTGTTGATTATTAACGAAGTTTCAAATAGGCCACTCCTGACCCTCCTGGCATCGTGATCGATCGTGATCATCGCGATGATCGCGATCATGGTAGTTATGAAGCTGAAAAGGAATGAAGTCTGCACCTAGGTAATTAAATTTTGCCATCATCATGAGGTAAATTTATCGCTGTGCATAATCTATGTACCAGCTCAGGTAACCGTTTGGTCGAAACGGAGGTCTAAGAACACATCTGGGGGGGGAGGCAATGAGTCCACACATTATAATCTCGATACCACATCATTATCAGATCAGTTTCACGTTCCTGTAACTTTAAAAGACGGAACAAAAAATAAGTATGAAAGACTCACGGATTTGATTAAGACCTACGCTGCGCTATACTTGGCAAAGCATACCACATGCGACCACACACGCATACGACAGTGCAAACCAGTGCTCAACACACTTTATACACCGGTGCTGTAACAGTTGGCGACAGTGAATATATTGACTCATGGTTGTGTTATGTTTCCGTGAGGAACAGTATGTAGCGCTACTACTGGTACTCCTTGGTATTACCAGGACGTTGAGGACAACGTTGGCCCAATTAGACACGCTGGAGTGGCTGTACTGGATGAGATTGTAATCACGACACGTGGGGGCGTGGAAACAGGGGGAAGGAGCAAGGGTCTGTTAAGAGGGAAAAGGATGGAAACAGTCTTACCCGTCTTAGCCCCAGTTCAAAATATACTGGGAAATTAGTACTTGCACAACGCTCACCTGGACTGAAGTGAATCAGCTGCAGGATTTGAGGTTCTAATTGCGGTGGTTATGAAGAGTACCATCTTCTGGGATATAACGCCTTGTAGTCAGCTGAAAGTCAACCGACGTTTCGGAGGAACGTATCGCCTCCAATCTTCAGGGTCAAATAAGTTGAGCAAAGTAACATTGTAGAAGCACTCTGCTTGCCACCTGCTTTCACCCTGGTATCTTGCTCAGATTATTTGACCCTGAAGATGGAGCCAATATGTTTCTCTGAAACATTGGTTGACTTTAAACGGACAACATGGCGTTATATCCCACAATATAATACTCTTTAAATCAATTGCGTTTGTATCTGTTCCGAATATTTTGGCTCTGACAGCAGTTGCTGAATCATGGTGCTGTCACGCCTTAATGGATCTCACCTCTTGTATTCCTCACAGTTCTCATGTACTGCATGTCACAGGTGGAGGTGAGTGTTCAGCTTCTTGCCCCCCCCCCTTCCCCCAGGCCCCATTACAAATTGGTGGAGGTGGGTGGGCACCAAAGCCTGTCTTAACTTTGGGATAAAGAGAAAACTGCCTATTTGTTGGCCTTATATATCTGAAAAAATAACAACCTGAATATATATTGGATATCATAGTAACTAATTAAGCAAATAAATACATGTCCAAAAAGTAACTACCATATTTTATTCCCAACTCCTTCGTGTAAAATAATTTCTTAAATGAGCATGTATTCCAGAATATTACAGACAATTGAAATGTAGGAAAACCTTATATCAAGGAACATTTCATAGGGGTTCCATTGTACCTACAGTAATACTTACCACTGGCTTAACTGCCTACACACCACACCAATAAGACATATGGAGGCTCTAGAGGATAGCAAATGGACATTTTCATGACCCTGTTGCTTTACCACCGCAGTCAGCCCTCTGTACTCATAGGAGGCTGGGTGGTACTCAGAGCTGGTCTGGTCATTATGAAGCAGAAAAGATTCTTACCCCTGCTGGGAATCAAGCCTGGGTCGTTAGTTGTCTAGCCCATTGCGTGTTCAATATCCTGACTGAGCTAACTTTGTTTAGTTTATATCCTCTAACAACTGACAATGAAATCAGCAGAATGACATAATATGCACCTGTGAGCTTATGAATTACATTTTAACACATAAAATATTGTTAAAGTGTTCCCTAATCAACTTTGTTCTAATAACAAGCTTGAATAATGGAAAGACAAAAGTAAGGTAAACTGTCCCTGTAAAAGACCGTGGAGGCCCATACAGCTGTGAGACTATGAGGCTCCCACATTTTCTAGACACTCGGCTCACAGATGGTAGTGATGTTGTCAGCCTTCTGCCTCAGCTGCCCTTTACCCCCAGAAAGAGTCTTGTACTCATTTCTGTCAGAGTCTGAGTCCACCCCAGGGCCATAGTGTGGCTGGAAGGATTAGGTCAATTGAAAATTCCAATGGCCTCACTGGGAATTGAACTCATTACCTTATACCTTGTAGCATAGTGCCTCAACCAACTATGCTACTGCATGCCCTCATTATGAAATTAGTGAAACGTTAAAGTGCTACCTCACAAATCAAATCATTGTCATTGTCCAAGTATTTTTATTCTCTTGGTAATTATAATGTGATTTTAAGCCCTGTAGTGTGCCTCAAAAACCCAGAGGGCTAACATTTTTACTGTTAACATAAAGAAATATCATCACCAGTGATGGCATACTTAGAAGTTTGCATTGTTCTCAATTGGAAACAATTTTTTTACCTTTATATTTAATCATGGGCACCAATTTATGGAACAAACATGTGTTTGTGTATATATATATATCTTCATTTTCATCATGAGCTTCTAGGTGTAAGTCCCTGGCCCATTTTGTCCCAGTGGGAATTAATATGTATAACGTATTCTTAAACCTCTCAGTTCTTCAGCTTTAGTAATATTTTAGAATTATAATATTATTTTTCCAACTTTCATAGTTTTTGTCTTATACGTGTATTTCTAAGAAATAAAGGTAAACTCCAAAACTATGTGTATTTGAGCCATAATGCACAATGTACATTTCCTAAGAGTTGAACTACTCAGTTCAGCGTAGTAAAATGAATAAATATATCACCTGTTACCAGATAGATCCAGTATATAATCCTCTATGGCAAAAACTGTTCCAAATAAACTTGCTATTATGAACATTAATTATCTACAACCAGCTTCATTTCCTTAGGACAATCCACAAATGCCTACAAAAGTTGATGCATATTTACTAAAATGGATGCCATTGGGATTACTAGGTGATAATGAAATTAACTATTGATCCCTTTTATTATCTAACTTTTCTCTTAATATTGCAGTCACTAAGGGAGTCTGTAGAACATTTTCATTTGCTGTTCTTCTAGAAAGATATTTATAAATGGTATGTCAGTTTAGATGTCATTAGAAAATTAGTGGGGGGGGGGGGGAGTCCAATTGGGTCCACTCAGCATGGCAGCCACTGATTGGCCTATTGTACCTGCCCTGGGTGATTATGATGATGGAGAATTTGGTGGAATGAAGACTGACAGGGGAAACCGAAGTACTCAGAGAAAGCCTGCCCCAGCGCCACTTTGTCCACCACAAATCCCACTTGACCAGACTAAGGTTTGAACCTGGGCTGCCATGGTGGGAAGCCAGCAACTAACAATTTGAGCTATGGCACTGCCTCATTAGTAAATTCATTTGTTGAGATGGTTCAAAATAATTACTAAAATCTCACTGCATATGAACTGTAAAAAATTGTGATAGAAGAAAAGACAAAACGATGAATAATGTAATCATATCTACTTATTTATTTGAGGTATAAATTGACTGGGAATATATTTTCAATTACAACTTTTTCATATCTGTTTTCTTTAGAAGTATTTTTTATCATTTATAACACATATTTTTTATGTAATATTCAAAGTTTAATTTAATATCTTCAATTGGATGATGTCTGTTCCTTACCTTTAAGTCACAGTTTTACATGATACACTTTTGAGTGAGCACCTTGTATTTGCTTTCAATTTAGTAGACTGACTTTGTGCGCTTTAGTCTCAAACTGGCCTTACAATAACTCTTTGATATTCTTCATATTTTAGGCAGGTCACGAGAAAACTTAACTGAACTGTCAGCATATACACATTCATGTCCAGCTTTAATCAATTGCCATCAAACATTCACCATTTCATTCATGTAGATGTAAATCTTCCTCTTCTTATTATTATGTGTCCAGATTGTCAAAGTCGTAGAAACTAATTGCTTCACTGTGGTAGAGATCATCTTTCAGTACGTTGCTCACACTATGTAGCTCAGTACATACTGAAGCAGTTACTTAATTTTGGCAGCTGTTAAACAACTACCTAAAAGTTTTCTTTATTCCCCCACAATAATGGGATTCAAACACTCCCTTCATGATTTACAAATGATTTCTGCATTAAAAAAATTAACATAATCATTACCAGCACTTTTTTGCTTTAGTTCTTATTTTGATTTCTTTATAAAATCTTTTGAGCATCACACATATCTGTACTTTACATTTCCAAATTACTCTGGGTGCAGGCAGTCACAATTAAAATGCAAGGATTAAGACAGTTTATATCACTGGGGAAGGAATATCCATCTAAGATAATTTTTTAAACTAAAATGGTTAAATATTTCCATCAGTATAATCAAGTATATTTAATGAGCTGGTGTAATATCCGTACTATCATTGGCTTGGACATGACAGAAATGAGAAATAAAATTAATAATTTTCCAGGCCATATAATTTCCTTGTACCACTCTAGCTCTAATTCTTGTATTATGTGGACTTAGATTTGTTTATTATAACGGAACAGAACTCAATGAACTTGTTTTACTTTACTTTACTCTATAATTTATATTTAACCTACATGTAATTCTTTCAGGAAATGTTTCTGTGCAGTAAACACTGATAGGTCAATTTAGGTTGACTCATGTTAGGTTGATGCCAAGAATGCCAATTAAATCTAATCTTCAGCTCAACAGAACATATTTTGTTTCTCATTCTGTGTACCAGCATATTTGACATGCATTTATCACTCTGAAGATAAATGAATCTGCACCATCTCTTAATATAATTAGCTCAAATTATTAATATGGATAAATTTAAACTATTCGGATTATTAAAGATAAAACACAAAAGATGAAGTGTTAGAAAGTAGAATTCTTCCTGGCCCCTGGGTAACAAAGAGCTGTGATCATATTTCAACAAATTTATCTTATATGCCCTTCATCTTAGTATATAGTTACTGTTAATCTCCAAATTTTATTTTTTGCAGTCTCTAATATAAAGTGGAATTAAATAACATTTTACCTTAAAATATGTAACTTCTTTTTTGCATTCGAACATCTGTGTTTAACTGTAGAAAGAAATGTGAGGCTTGTGAGAAAGTAAGCGTGTATACAACAATTTATCAATTCCACAAATCTTACAAGATCATATATGCTCCAGAAGATCAAAGCCAACATTTTAAAGTATACTTGAAGTAAAATTAATTTAATAATTTCAACTTCAACTTCAACTTCTAAGTAACAACTTAAACTTAATTTCACAATCAAACAATGACTGTTACTTCAGTCTATAATATACCTACATCATGAAATTTCCACTTAAGATTTAGCTTGAGGAAAAGATTTTTGTATCTTAAACTGAGAAAAATCTTAAAGTGAAGTTATATAGAACTGAAACAGAAAATTAGATAAAATTATAAATTATTGCTACAATTCGGGAACAGATTCAGTGCAAGACATTGCACATACTTTTTCATATGTGGGTTAACATCACTACATTATTACTCGTATTTAGTACAGTGGCTTCAATATATTAGCGAAATGAAATGAAATTTGATAGAGCCATTTTCAGTAAATTCGCTTAGAGCCATTTTCAGTAAATTCGCTATTTTATTTTTTGGGGCCCATCTGAATGGCCCCTATTTTTCAAGCTGGAATGTTCTTGTCCACGATCTCTGACCTATGGTGGATAACTCTTAAATACCGAACACTGCTAAAATCTGCCAAAAATGTTCAGGTGCTAATGAGGTGCAAATCCAGAGAGAGACAGACAGGCAGGCAGACAGCATTCCAAAACCCCCTTTCTTCTACTCATGGGTGTGTAACACACGTAAATCTGCCAAAATCTTGTGATCAATTTTGCTCACCATCACAGTACTTTCTCATATGTATTACGTTTTTGTGTTCAGGGGTACTGAAAACATATGGATCCATTAGAATATCAAAATCCTTTGATTTCTTCACCATCATTATACTTTGCTTTATGTGATACAAGTGAAAAAGTAAAAATGAACAAATACATATTATGTAAGTCTAAAAACAGCACAAAATACTGTATGATATGCCTAATTGCATAGTAATTGCTACTTTAAATCAAATTCTTTGTTTTTATATCCATGTTCTAATTTAAACAATAGATCTGTAATATATGTACAATATTTACACAACAAATACAACTTATAAATGAGTTTCAACACAAGGAAAACATAATACAAGTTACACAAAACATGTGTAAGTGAGGCTGAAATTACCCATGGAATTATCCTGAGTATGCAAACAATATGTAACACTGATATGTTCCTTCTATTCCATTCTTCCACGTGCATCCTAGGTCAACAACATAACATGAGTACTTCAAGGTGTCTTTGAGCAAACAACAATGGCCTGTATTTACCTGAATGGAAGATGGCTATGAATCTAAGGTGAAAACCCCCCCATAATAAGGAAAATGTCTGCACATGAAATGTGCTCTATGTATTAATATCCATTTGTTACAAGAAAACACATTAAAGATACTGGATATTTAATAACATGTTTTTCATTAAGCCAACTTTTTCTACTCTCATTTTCTCTCTTCACCCATACAAACTTCATGAATTTCACTGTAATATCTCTTCATGAGAAATTACTGATTCTGATTCATAGATTTGGTGGTTCATTGGTCACGCTTGTCATGGTTCATAGCTTATGGGTCCTGACCTTGAAACATATTTCTCTCACTTGGTATGCTAATAGCATAATTTGGCATGAACGATGGCATTTATTGCAGTCTGGAAACATCAAGCCATTGAAGCCTGCTTAAAAACAATCAATATTTTATTTGCACTCAAACTGAAGATAACACCCTTCATTATTTAAAGTTGAAAACAAGGAAGAAACATAGCCTTCCATTCAAATAAATATGATAAGTGAAGGGAGAGATTTCATTTATGGATTGGACCTTTGTTAACTGAATGTAAAGCAATAGAACAAGAAATAAATAAAGGAAAATTACATATTATCTACATGGGGCTTTGTCTAGTACCACAAAAATGGAAACACAATGGGGAATCTCTTAGTCTGAGAAACCTTAAATCAGGAAACATGATGCTTGAAGAAATTATGAAAGGTAAAGACTGATCTAGCTGGTCATGGTAGTGGAGCGGTCTAAGGCATGCTCTGTCCTCGCTCGCTTGGGAACCAGGATCGTGTGTTCGAATCCCACTCAGGGCATGGATATTTAGTTTGTGTGTGTGTTTTTTTTCTGTGTTTGTGTACAGGTAGAGGCCTTGCGATGAGCTGATCACCTGCCCAAGGAGTCCTACCGAACGTGTAAGATCTAGAAAAACCGAGTGAACGGAGAAGTTCATGGAGGTAGGCCTAGGCCTGCTGGGGCTGTAGTGCCAAGGTATAAAAAAAGACTGATCTAACCATCCTATGTAAACTATCTCCATGGATCAGAATCCTTGTTGAGAATGCATGATCAGTAATTGAACTAAGATAGAAATATTCCTGCAGATTTCACAGAATGGGATGGTCATTACAGCTCAGCCAGATAAATAGTGGACTTAGTGCTGGATCAATTTCTGACAGGAGTTTTTGAGACTTCCATGGAATGCATGAAGCCATCAACGCAGGAGGTACTAGGAGTTGGATGCAACCTGAAAACTACTTCTCCATCTCCATCTAGCGCTGACATAGGAATGCATTCTCTGTACACCCTATAAATCTTCATGGCATTGAACCAAGGCACAGAGATAAACCTTTAATTTCATCATAATAGATAAACAATTTAGTGATAATTTCTCATTGCAGTTATTGGGAAGACTATGTTATTTTTTTGTCTAGTGCCTCTGGATATGATCTGTGTTGACCTCTGGCCTCAGTTCACCTACATAAGGGCACAGATTTAATTTATGAGGTGACAGCACCCATAGAATGGAGGAATGGTGGTTGGGAGATAGAATCTGCAGCCTAATGCGGGCTTTCGTCTGTGGGTGACTAATACGTTTCTCGTTCCCAAAGTTTTCTCCTTGGTATAGAAATGAAGTTTCAGACTGTGATGAACAATATCTGCACACAGTTTTGATCAGGGGTGAAACTTATCACCAGGGCCCGGATTTTGATGACCTGAAAATATTTAAAAAATGACCTAAAAATGACCGATAAAATCCAGAAAAATGACCTAAAGGAGAAAAGAAAGAACACTTCGCTTCCATGTTATTCACATTTCAGAAAACATATGAAGAAAAATTCCCTAAAATGGCCAAAAATGACAAGAAATACCCTTAAAAGCCCCAAAATTTACCAAAAAATTACCCCCCAAATGAAAAAATGACCTTAAACCTAAAAATGTCAAAAAATGACAAAAAATTACCTATAAAATTTACATTTCTGTAACCAGCAGCTCATATCCGAGATTTATGTATTTAAGAGCATCGCATAGGATACAAGGAAAAAAAAGATGACATGTCATCAAAATCTGGGCCCTGCTTATCACCCTATGAATGAGAGTATGGTTTGCCTATTTAGAAGAGTATTAGAGTCATTTGTATATAATGAAAAATTTTCACATGATTGTACCATTAAATAATGATGTTAAACACAACACAGATTGTTACAATTGTAAAAATAGACAATTACTCTGACATTAATAAAAAACCTATTATGATTTTTTCCTGTAGTACTTCCATTATATCTAACTCTGGATACATGAGAAGTTTGCATCATGCTGTAACATCCATGAAAAAATTACATAAAGCAACAATTATTATTATTGTGGAAGGCCATTAATCTTGCCATACCGACACGAAACATATATGAGTTACATTGTCTCTAAGTTTGCAGCCAATGTGACCGGCTTCTCTGTATGTCTTTACCGCTCACATGCAAATGTGTACTTGAGGCAGTGGGGGAGGGGAAAAAAAACAAATTTCATGTAAAGGTCAGTAAAAATGACAACAGATGTAAATTAAATGGAATGATTATGATTGTCAGAAATAAAACAAAGGTCTTAAAATTGGTTTATCACCTACTTTAAGAAATACAATCAATAACAACAAACAAATGTTTTCCGTTCTTAATAATATGTCAGCTACAAATAAGGAGACATGTATTTGCTTCATATTAGATACTGATTTTGAAGAAAATTGTAATGTATAAAAATATACAATCGAATATATAACACACTAAGTTTATTAGAATAGATATTGCTTGTTCTTATTTCAGTATGACAGCACTACCCTCTCACAAGCCATGCTTTATCATCACATCTCATGTTACACCATTTTGTCTAAACTAGATGATGAATGTTCTTCAGGCATTTGATGTACAAAACATGTTCATTTAACATTATTAGCAATTCACACTCCAGTTTTATATTGTAATTGTACCTAATCTGAAAAATAAAACAATGGTTGCTTGTACTGTTCCTTCTTTCGAGATGCAGATTATTGATAATTATGAGTTATAATTGAAAGGTGGTTAAACACAGCAGCATTTTAAAGACAGAGCTTAACTCATTCATTTGCATCACATAACCTACAGGGTGCAATTAGTTGATTCTGAATACTTTTGTTTCAAGATACACTCATCCCATATAATATTTCATTTCTAAATGGATACTTCATTTCTTATTTGTTTAATATAATAAACTTTGTGCTCTTGGAGTCATACTACCACCCTACAAAGGGGTATCCAGGTTTGGAATTTTACTAATGCATTTGTATGCCTGAACACCAAGGAAGAACATGGTCAGAGAGGATGAGAGAAATTCCAAAGACCAAGAAATATGAAAGGTTCAGGCGTCTGTGAATGTCCCCAACAGCCACAGACTGGTTAATGATTAAGTCTGTTCAATAGAAGAAATTATTCCACCATCCTTCAAGGAAAATTAGTCTAGCGTCCACCAATGAAATATCAGCAAGCCCAAAAATCCTTCCAAGACCAAGGTACTGTGAAACTGTTCCAGCAGCTTAAGAAATTTGGAAACAATTAAACAATGTGCACTTCTTTTCTGGAAAATCTGAATGCAGAATGCTTACGCCACTCAAATAGAGTATTACAGTACAAATAACCATTATCTTTGAATGTGTATGGGATTTTTATTCACTAGACTGGAGTTGTCCGTCTCAAAGCGTCTAACCCGAAATCTTTCCGTCTCTGTTGAGGTGATAACTCATCTGTTGTTGTGGCAACTGCCCTGACAGGTGGCACAGGGGGGTGGTCATCTAGGTCAAAAGTCACAAACTCATGTTCATGTTGCATTGATGGAGAATAATCCTCATCATCAATATCATTATCACCGCAGGAGTTAATGTCAGCTGTTGTAGACACAGTGTTAGTTGTAGCATCACGTGGAAAGAAAGAAGAATGAGAGCCTGATAGTTCTCTGGCGCTACCATGGTGGTGTGGATGAAGATGATGATGATGTTGTTGATGTTGATGGTGATGCTGATGACGCAAATCAATTGGAGGCGGTGTTGCTTCACACTCCTCTTCTCCACGATGATGATGAAAATAATGTTGGTGATATCCTGTAGAAGTATCAACAACAGTTCCAGCTGGAGCAGGGAAGCTATAATAGGAAGAAGAGGTCATATCCCTCATGGAACCGGTGAAGGAAGGAAGCGCTAGGTGTCTACAGGGTGAAGGCTCTCCACTGTTACTGCACTCCACACCATCAGGACCTCTAGGGTCATGGTCTAAATATAACCGTCGTTGAGGAGAGGCTCTAAGAAGTTGTGGAGGTCTTCCTGAAGTATATTGCTGTTGTTGATAGGAATGTGGATGGCGCCTGCAGGGAAACAGACTGCTTGGATTATGGTGGTCTGCAGTGAGTAGCATGGAAGAAGCAGATAGTTTGCGACGATGGAGGTGATGTTCAAACTGTTTGCGAACCCATTCCTTCTGATGCCAGTAGATATAAAGGAACACTGCACATGTTCCAGCAATTTCTGTAGCCATGAATCCAGATACGACGAGAAGAAAGCTGAACCCATAGCGATAGGTGAACAAAGGTGGTTGAAGCTGTGAGCGAGGGCGCAACTTGCTGCCAATTTCAGCTTTGAAGATGGAGATGTACATAACCAGACCAATCAACATCAGCAGCCCTGGAAAATATTGACAAAAAGTTACAGTGTAGCTTTAGAAATTAATATTGTTACATATTATAATTTATAGTCTGGCAAATATTATTATGGTGCTCAACTCAACAAGATGGGTGTCATGTGCAGTAAATGTATACAACATTTTATTTAAAAGATATCACTTCAAGGATTCAGATGAAAATGGGAGGATACCATTAGAACTGAACCCAAAGAAACAGACTCTGAACACATAGAATGGATTCAAAAGATCAGTTCTTGTGAACATACGAGTATTAAGAATCTTTAGCTTTAATAGAATTGTTGGTAATTTCTTGAGCAGCAAAGTGTTTATGACTGTGACCACATTCATGTCTGTTCTAGGGCTCACCAGTCTGATACCCCTGAGTAAAAATGGCCAGATCATGAAGCTGACTAATCAGCTCCATCCCCCAAGCTCTAAAATATAGAAACTATTGCTGATGTGTAAAAAAAAAAGTAAAGCTATCCCTGTAGCAGGTACTGAAGGCCCATAGGGTTGTGAGACGTTGAGGTTCCCACATTATCTAGACATTCGGCTCAAAGATGGCGGTAAGGTTGTCAGCCTTACGTGCCAGCCGCGCTTTACTCCCCAGTAAAATTATTTAATTATTTCCTGGTACTCATTTCTGTTAGAGGCTGAGTAAACCCCAGGGCCTAGTGCGGCTGGAAAGATTAGTTCAACTGAAAAAATCTAGTGACCTCATCGGGACTTGAACCCATGACCTTCCGGCTTGTAGCGTAGCCCCTCAACCACTACGCTACCGCGTGCCCCATTTGCTGATGTGTTGTGGTTAAAATTCCTGCTTCATATTCTGGAGATGGGTGGGCCCCCAAACCCATTCTGGACGTTGTGGAGAAGAGAAAATCTCTTTCTCCAGCCAGGAATCAAAGCCCAGCCATCCAGTTCATAACCCACTGATATATCAACGGAGGTAACCCAATTTCTATGAGTATATAAAAAATTAGAAAACAGGCAAATATATATATAATCATCCTGAAGATTAATATCTTCTTGCATGTGATGTTATGTAGTATGGTAGATGTTTACTAACTTTCAGAGGAACTTGCTGGCTCCATCTTAAATTTTTTTTTATTTATTCTTATTTGTACCACATTTTCCATGCTTAGTATACTCTTATATATCAATAGAGGCAATAATCTCTTGTGAAACATCAGTAACTTGTACTTTACTGTGTAAATATATTAACAGGCCCATGTTTCTCTAAATATAATTATAGTGGAGAAAGTTAACAGGAAAGGAACCAGACATAAATATACAAATCATGAACCTCTGGAGCCATACTGCATATGTACATTATGCTTATGTTTTAGTTAACATGCAAATTTGTTTCAGGGAAAGGAATAATGGCTCCCAATTGGAAGTGACCATTGGAAAGTATCAAAAACTAGTCTAATATTTTATTCATGACTGGATTTCAATTTCCCTAGCAGCAACATGAAATTATATCAGCTGTGGACCTATCACTGAAGTTAGTCTTATTCTACGAAATTTAGTGTAGGTTTAACTTTATTTACCAGAGCTGGTCTCTTGTTAGGATAACAATATTACATCAGACACACTGAGAATGGATGGACAGAGGAAAGTCAGACCAGAATTATAGTGGAATTAAATTGTATCCTAACAACGACATGAAACATACAAGCAGTATAACTTTCAGTATATCCAAATTAAAGTTATACTGATGTTGAAACTTTCGTTATGGAAACTGTGAGTGAATTATCATATGCAGAGCTCCATAATTAAAACCTAAATCTGCTGAACAAAATTTACCAACTACATGATGCTTTCTATATGAAACTTGATTCCTCACCCTAGGGGAAGAACAAAATTGAGAGTACTCAAGTTTTGTACAGACAAAGAACAGACGTGTGGTTTTGACTGCAGTATAATAAAACAACTGAAGTCAAATAAAAACAATAAGTCACTAAGTTTTATTAAAGCAGCCATGCTGTATGAACTGGAGCTCTACCATCATCATGTGTGTATAAATAAAACATTAAATATTGTTCCATGTACACCCATTGGTAGGCAACGTGTTGGTAAACAAGTTCCCATGAAGACAGATTCTTGGTAAATAGTCCGTTGTTAGGTTATAAAACAACAGATAAGGCTCTTTTCTACGTCATTCGCGTCAAGGAGCGGTAGAACAACGGGATTATGCAAACAGTTTCTGAGCAATGGCTCGGTAAACACACTTCCGCCTAAGCGGTGACATCATAAAAAATATAGGTGGTGTTTTCCATGGGGACTGTGCAGAGTGAGTATAAGAGAAGTGAATGCAGAAGCAAATTCAATTCACGGCAGTTACGAGTCGTAACTAGTCGTAGCCGAGAAGCCGCGAGTCAAGGACAAGAAGCCGTCATGGAAAGGAGTTGTGAGGATTAAGCTGTGAAATATTAATGGACATTGAAGACTTTATGTGTACTGTATTGCAGTGACATCTGGAGTGATCTGTATTTGTATTTGTATTTATTGTAAGTTCAAGAGATCCAAAGATGGATATAGAACATGTCATAAGTGCGAGTTCCTGTGTTTTAATTTCTTTGCCAGGAGAGGGCTAGTGTGTGTGAGTGTGTGTGTGTGTGTGTGTGTGTAACAGTGCGCCAAAAAGTGCAGAAACACCGACAGCGCTGCACTAATTATAATTAAGAGAAAGAAGTAACCGAAGTGCTAATAATTCTAATCATCCGAAATAGAACCCGTCAATTTCGTCAAGGGAACCACCCTACATATCATAATATATTACGTTTTATGTTGAATTATGTGACCAAAATGTATCCGTCTTGATAATACATGACGGCCTCTGTGGTCTAGTAGTCAGAGTTCCTGGCTACAGATCCAGAGGTCCCGGTTTCAATTCCCGGCTCTATCAGATTTTCTGAGAATTAGTGGGTCTGAAACGGGGTCCACTCAACCTCGTGAGGACAATTGATGAGTTACTTGAACGGAGAAGTCGAGGCTCCGGTCTAGAAAACCAAGATTAACGGCCGTGGGGATCTGTTGGGCTGACCACGCGACACCCTCTATCCGCAAAAGTTGGCACTAACTTCGCCGACAAGCGGCGGTCACTCGGTCGGTATAGTTCGCTTGTGGACTAAAGGCCACGGGTTTTGTTTGTTTTGGTTGATCATACACACAAGATCATGGCCAAAATAGACCAAAGTATATAGTGTGATTGCTATGCTGAAACTGAATGACTTGTTGTTTTTATTTGACTTGAATAGTTTTAATACACTCTAGTCAAAAACACACGTCTGTTGTGTGACGGTACAAAACTCAAGTATTCCTGTACACGTACATAATAGATTGCTCAACATAAAAATAAAGATTGAGAGTGTTTGAGAACAGCGTGTTGCAAGCAATATTTGATCTCTAAGACAAGAAGCAACACGAGGATGCAATACATCACATCATGATAAGCTTTACAGTTTCTACTTTTAATCTTGTTATACTGAACAACTAGAGAATGAGATGGGTGGGACACGTAGCACATATAGGAGAGGTAAGAGATTAACAGAAAATATTAGTTTGTGAAACTCGTGAGTAAAAATCAAAATCAGTATTCAAAAACGGAATATTAACTGTTAAACACTTACATTTTATATCATAAAATTTGCTTGTTGTATTTGCTACATGACAACAGACTATTTCCACATTACAAACACATACAGACCGAGACTAGAAGTGTCTCCATCAACTAAGCCAAGGTCTAATGATACACACCGGACATGATGCACAGTACACCAGAGATGAAGGTAAAAATGCGCCTCTGACGAGCAAAATGTCCAAACAGGCAGCAGAACTCTCCCACGAAGACAAGGAGGGTAGCCAGGATAAAAAATAATGCAGACTTGGTCACAGCATCTGAAAGAACAAACCCACAAATTTTAATGTCTGTCAGGAAGTCCCTTGAAGTGATTAACTGGTATGATTAGCGAATAATTCGCCATTTTGACTAGTAAACTATTTTGTTCCATAGAGAATGAGCCACTCAGAATATGATAGGTTAGGTTCTTGTATTTCCTGCTCATGCAAGTGAATATCGTGTTATTTGAAACACTGTTTCGCTGCCATCTTCAAGTCATCACAGTTTTCCTTCCTGACAGGAGCAGATGAAACATCTGGAATATCAAAATTGATGCCAATGTGGGATCAGCGCCAAAATGATGGTGAGAAAGAACAGGGAACTGACTTCTTTGGCTACAATATAAAAAACTCATCAGATGATAAGATGGATCACTCACTGTCCACGGGAATTACGTAGAAAAATAGCGCACATGAGACAGAGTGACACCATATTATCCATATCATAGCTTCGCTGAATGGCTTCATGGCACATGTCTTGGAAACATATCTTCTGAAAGTTCCTCCTTGAAAGGGCATTCAGTTTACACACCGAAGACTGAGAGATCATAACCAAAAAGTATCTTACAGACACATTCTCAAGCTGTTTTACATGAAATATTAGGTAATAAATAGGGGCATTTCTCCACTGGTGATCTGTGGACCGCAGCTGGTGACTAACGTAATTTTTTCCGGTCTCCAAATTCTAGTTACCTATACCTTAATACGGGTCTAAAGGTGTACTAATCGAACTCGAAAAACTGACATTTTATAAAAAGCGCATTATTTGTTTCCGTTTACTTTTAGAGGTTATGTACATAGCGCTGAAATGTATTAGTCTATATGTATTACCCCTTATCACTTTTACTGCGTTTTGTGAAGTTACCGGCCATAAATTCATACATAGACTGAGATGAATAAAATAAGAATAATTGAATTATTATATTTTGTGTTAACTCAGTAGCTACAGGATCCAGTTACAGGGTCAACATTATCATACATATAAAAAATAAGAGATAATATTAAACACATATTTAGGACAGTTAGGCCTATCTACATATATGATAATGTACTGCGAAGAAGATGCAGGGCAAGCATAACTTCATAACAACACTAAATGCAACAAAATATGAAAACTATCGATTAACAGATTAAAAAGAGATGACTGTAGTCTCTAATGTATGTGACGGCATTTCTGATATCATAAGCTTCTAGAAGTGAAGGCCAGGTCATAAAAGTTTTACAGACTTTCCCTATTAAAATATATCAAAACAACACCGCTTCTCGAATAAAGTCCGCAATTTGAAACCATCCAAAATATAATTATAGCTACAAGAATCGTGATTTTTAAAGAATCCCACTCTACCATAAAGTAGGAAAATTCCCCTGGACACATTCTACTTTTTGGAGCCAGGGTTGGTAACAGTATTCCAGACAGTATATTCAGGTTTCATTGTGACTACGCTGATGTAAAGCACCAGCAATCGAAGTAGTAATGAAAAGGATAAAGTAAAATTCCGTATCAGGAGCAACAACTTAAGAGTATGAAAAAGTAGGTGATCAAGACGATGGTGTAAATACAGATTACAGCCAAGGAAAGATCCGTGGTTTTCACTACAGTCTCTAGGCATAATGCTAAATTTATAAAGCAGACGATTAAAAGCCAGTACTTTAACCTTTCTCGAGATGGAAATAGCTTTTGTTTTTACCAGCATTTGGTTTTATATGGTTAGCAGTACACCTCTTCTGCAAATAATTAATATCTGGCTGCAAGTAAAGGAAGTCAACGACAAAGGTAATATGACAGAATATTTGTATACTATCAGGAAAAACGAGAAACAATATTTCGTTACATAAATTATTAGTGTTACTGGGTAACAAAGGTAAAGAAAGCTGAACGTTGGGTAACAACATACAGTTCAATATAGGACGAGTAAAGAACTTTATAAAAACTTATCAAGAAAAACAGTTTATTATGTAGCCAACTACAAACCAGAATATAACCAATAGACAGCCCTACCTACTAACCAGATCCAAAAGAAAAGAATGCAAAACAAAACCAAAAACACGGCTCAGATCAAAGTAGATGGAATCAAAGTATCCTTGATACTGCAGAATAGGAGATACGATGTCAGATAAAGTATTTAAATTCTTAGGTGTCAATTGATTATGGTTAAACTACGGTAGGAAGAATTTAAAATAGTGCGAAATGTGCTCACAAATGACAAATTCAGATATCTTAGAAACAGCACTGAAAAAAAAACAAGCCTACAATTAACAAAATAATTTGTTTTCGTTTTCAAAGCCCGGAGCAACGAATGCTGTTTTCCATTTAACATGAGATTGTTTACGTGAAATAACTAAGGTTAATAATAAACTTCAACAAAAGGACAAAAATTTCAGAGCACCTCTGCAACAAATATATCGATACTGTTCAATCCGACAAATTCCTCTAGCCGTGATCACGTGATATCTTTGCAAACATCAGTATCCTTAACAAAACTACGGTTAAAGCATCACTACAATGTGAAATGGCCGACTGCTCGACTTCATGTCGTGTAGTATATGTAGGGACTGCAACTACCTAGGAAATGCATTACCAACAACACAGGATTTAGTTACATGAGTACCACCAACCTAAAGTAAAGCAGGATTGTTCCAATTCTTACTAACTTTAAATACAAAATTCAGAATCTGTTTTCGTTGGAGCCTAACGTTATCACCTATTGAGTTAATCCAAGCATATCTGTCGGGTTCAGTAATAACAGTAGTAACAATTCAATTAAAACTAAAACTCTGTGGTTTGAGTCCGCAAGCGAACTATACCGATCGAGCAATCGCCGCTTGTCATAGAAGTTAGTGTTAACTTTAGCGGCTAGAGGGTGTCACGTGGTCAGAGCAACGAATCCTCACGGCCGTTAATTTCGGTTTTCTAGACCCTAACCGCTACTTTTCCATTCAAGTAGCTCCTCAGTTATCCTCACGAGGCTGAGTGGACCCCGTTCCAGACCCACTATTTCTCAGAAAATCTGGTAGCGCCGGGAATCGAACCCGGATTTCTGGATCTGTAGCCAGGAACTCTTACCACTAGACCACAGAGGCGGTCGATTAATTCAATTACATTCCTTTATTTACGTAATTGCCAACAGCAACTGGTCTATAACAAGCGAGCACTGAAAATATACGTAACTACAGACAGACTAAGACTAGAACTAGAACTGGACTAGAATTTAGTCCTAGGCAATAAAATAATAGAGGTGACACCATAATGGTATAACTCAATAGGTTTACTTACTTACTTACTTACTTACTTACTTACTCACTCATGGAGCTGAGTCCTTCTGGAGGAACCGCCAATTCTGCAGCTACTCAAGAATTTCCCAGCATTTTATGGAACCCGAAGGTTCATTACCGTGTTCGTAAGAGCCCTCCACTGGTCCCTAGCCTGAGCCAGATCTATCCAATCCATACCATCCCATCCTATCTCTCTAAGATCCATTCTAATATTGCCCACCCACCTACGCCTTGGTCTTCCTGTAGTCTCTTTCCTTCTGGCAACTCAATAGGAGCAAAGAAAATATATCCTCAAAAGAGATGTTATGTTTATTGAAAAAGTCCAATGATTGCAGATATCATTTGCAGCCGTGATTCAGATTTTAAGGGCCAAGTCTTGAAGAAATAACAACAACAACAACAACAACAACAATACATAATTCAAATCCTGTATTTGAGTGCTTGCCAGCAGCGAGTAGCCTATAACAGGCGACCACTGAACATACACAAGGCTAAAGCCAGACTAAGGAAACTACACCAGGAATTAAATAGTGAAAACTGAAACAATTTAGATAGGACGTTAATGCAGTAACAAGATCCACGGACTAAGCAACATTAAGAAAAGGAAAAAGTATCCTCAAGGAAGATGGTGTGTTTACTCAAAACGTCCAGAGATTTTTAAGATGTTGTTTGCAGCCGTGGCATAACTTCACGAAAGTACTGAGACGTTACTGAAGTTAAAGGCAAAAAAGTTCCAAACTTTCTTATTCTCGTACTCAGAGAGAAACAGGTTGCCTGACAGAACAACATTTGGTTTTGTTCCGGAAAACGTTAACAAGAAATAGAGCGTTAATCTGTTATCGTCCGGTATAAAGCGTTCTGAATATTAAATAAATAGAAATTGATTCATAATTGACTGAATATGTCGATCGTAGCATAAATTTGCAAGCATTCTATGTAAGTTATCCTGTATGTAATAGTCGGCCAAAGAAAGGTTATTCCAGGCGAGAGAATTGTGCTCAGGTTTCGATCGAATTAACGCAATATATAGAACTTTCAGACTATCCAAGGAAGAAAAAATTATGTGTGATGGAATGAATTAATCCTAAGAGTTTATTGCGTTGGAATATAAGTATCCAACAGTATAATAACAATAACAACAACAATAATAATAACATTATATTTTAAGATTGACTTATGAATTGGTTACAATTCAGATACGAAAGAAATGCGAAAACGAAAGAGGAAAGAGAACGGACACGCGACAGAAATACGATGGAGGTTTCGTTATCTGCATGTTGCCCCTGGCAACCCCATTTCACCACGGGGACCCGACTGGAACCTTTCGTCTAGAGACGCCAACCTATTAACTCTACTAGGGAAATAACGAGTGTGGCAATGAGGTTTCCTCACCAAGACTACGACCCAAACCGCAAGCGAATTTCGCAAATTTCTGCCTTCCATCAGGCCACAGTTGAATATAAAATAGTCCAAAGGTAATAAATACATATTCTAGCCCGGAATCTGCGCTGAATCCAGAGATTCTGTGTCTGGCAGAGCGATGTAAGGACACAATTTTGTTGTAAGTTTACATGGCAAAGAGCCTGTGTTAGAACTAACTTTATAATTCCATCTTACCGAGACACTGAGCATCTGTCGCCCTAAGGCAACAAATTCTGTATCAAATAGATTTATATTAATCTGTAACAGTAATATTCATAGATAATGAATCAGGATTATCTATTATT